ATCTGGGGCCTGATCTTTTAATATCAAGTGCACCCTCTCTCTCTTTCTCACATGAAACATGAGCATGCACAGGTTGGCATATTGTACATGCTCATAACTAGACACAGGCATCAATTTAGTCCTGAGGGCATAACAAATAACCTGGTTTTGCACATGGAAAGTGTGCATGAAAAAAATAGATGAAGACCACCAGCCTCTACTTTGTAACAATCAGGCCCTGGTGTATGCTCCCGGTAGGTAGGTTGCACACCCTACATTCCATAGCTCACCAAAGCAGCTAAGCACTTTGCTGGAGATCAGTGGACACAAGAATTAGTTTGAGCACTTGCAACAGCAAACACGAGGTTTCTCTGGCTGCCTGACTCACAGAAAGAGAGTTCAGCTTTTCACCCCAGTCAGATCTCGGGGTTCAGCTCATGGCCGCTCACTTGACATACAGAGATTATGCAAATTTTAAATGTTTTGCTAGCTTCTTGCCTTCCGGGAGTGCAGCTCTAAACCACAATGTTTCTGGACGGTTTTAATATGAGTTGTCATCACACACTACAAGCACATGGGTGAAACGCTCCAAGGCTATCTATGCAGCATCTGGTCTATGGAAACCAAAAGCCTGGGAACGGGAGAAGGAGATGCACATTGTGAGATATTTCTAATATTCCCTCGACTCCCCCACCCTTCAGCATCCACTGCTTGGCCTAATGAAATCATATGCACAGCAGAAAGCTATGATGAAATGCTAACATGAAACATCATGCCCAGAGAGTGATAGAGCAGGTCCTTAAGGGGCTCAGAAGTCAATGGGAGTAAGATGGGGCAGGAGTGCTAAGGGAAGAGGTGTGTCTAATGGTTAGAGCAGGAGATGGCCAGTCAGGACTGTTGGGGCCAAGGTTTTCAGAAGGCACCAGTAGTTTGGGGAGCTTCACTTGAGACATGTTAAAGAGGACTGACTTCCAGAAATGGCTGAGCTCCCACTCTGAAAATCTGGCCCCTTTCTGGTGTTTTAAGTTGGGCTCCCAAAACTTGAGGCCCCCTGTAAAATCACTTGTCACTTATGGAAATCTTGGACCAGGACTCTGTTCTCACGTAGCAGCATTGGCCAAGCCATTTTCCGTCTCTGTGCCCCGTTTTCCCATATGTAAATTGGGGGAATATTTAACAATGGCACAAATGGGTTGTGAGGCTTCGTTTGTTAATATTTGGAGATAGAGGAAAAGTGTTACGTAGGACGTAGTCTTTACACAGCAGGAATATCACTGCTCATCTTCAAAGCAGTGTCCTGGTATTCAGTTAACAAGTTTCTACAAAGCATTGAGAGATCGGTCATTGACAGGCTAAGAGGGCCAGGTATGTGCCATCAGCAGCACTTAACAACCAGCGAGCCCCTCAAGTCAGGTAGAATCCAAGATTGGGAAACTTCTGTCTCCAACTGGACCCAGGTGTAAGAATGAAGCAACATTGCTCAGAAGGGAGAAAAATGCTGTGAAGAACCACAGTCCTCCCCCTTCCATTGAAGGTGCAGAGGGACCCCCCCCCACTGAACCTCACCCCATTTACTCAAAGTCACAGGAACCCTTAGAATCCTTTTCAACTGAAGACCAAGCCCAGCCAAAAATGTTTTTCTACCTCCAGCTGGCTAGGAACCTTCTCCTCTCCCTCCTTGTTGAGGTCCTGAACACAGTGACTCATACACTCATCACCTCCAGCTTAAGGTATTGCAACTCACTGCATCTGCGGCTGAAGGTGGAAGCAGTGCACCGCTTGATGGACCACCAGCAGCATATGTGCTCCAGTCCCATGATGGGCATCCATCACTAGTCCAAGGCCTTGGAGAACTGATCTTCAAAGCCTTTGATGGGTCAAGCCCCACCTGCATCCCAGTCCATCAACCACCAAGACACCTGCCCTCTTCTGGGTCAAAGCAGAGCACAAAGCCCAGTAGGAAGTTTGAGAACTGGAACCATTCCCAGCAGGTCAAACTGAGTTGAACTGACCTCAGAGTAGGTCAGACTAACCCAGAGCTTGGCCATCTCTCAGGACTGAGAAAGATTTCCCACCATAACATTTATATTTAGATATGCCAAGCACAGCTCCATATAACCAGGGAAGGCAGGAGACTCCACTAGATCCCTTGTGCTGCTGATCTAATTTAGTTGGGAAGTGTTTAGTTACCGGGGCGGATGGGTGTAATAGAAAGACCTAATCAGATTTAGAGGAAACAGATTCCATCTGTTATTTAACAGGTGATATCAGAACCTACGTCAATCTCTGCTGGCTGGAACGGAAAAGAAAGAAGTCACCAGCCTCCAAAAGTGAAATCATACAAATCACGTAAAGCCCTTTGCGTTGATTCCTCCCACCGTATCTGCTCTCTGTGGTTTGGCAAAGCTCATGGGCAGCCCTTTCGTGTACCCACGCTGGCAAGTGCTCACCCACAGCTACAAGACTTGGGGTGGAGACTAAAAACTCCCGCCAGGCAGGTACTGACGGCAACACCTCCAGAAGCTACGGAATGAGGAAAACGAACATGAGCGTAACAGGTCAGCACGGAGGTGCAGTCACACAGCTAGCTGTGTGGGGGCCCAACAACAAAAGAGCAAGGGTGTGTAGGCTTGAATTAAGGTGCATTAGGTGTCCCTTGATGACAGCATCCTGTTACTCTGGTCAAACCAGAGCTGCCTAAATCCCAGCTGTGCAAGGACCCATAGGATGCCAAGGGGTGCTGCAGGTCCAGGATTTAGATGGATTAACTGAGTTGTAGGGGCGTTGCAGGTCAGAATCAAGGTGCAATGGAAAAGCTGTAGGGGGGGGGGCGGGGCTGGATTAGCAGGACGTGCTCTGGGTCAGGTGTGAGATGCAGTGGCAGGAGGTGCATGGAACAGCCCAGATCATGTTCTGAGCCTCTCTCGAAGTTCAGAGGTGTTCAGATCTGGAGGCTGTGTTTAGTGCCATGTCTGGTTCATACAGTGTAGGGAGCTCTCCCTGCATCGGGTCCAATGTCCTGCACTGGGCTGGCTGGGGGCCATTATGAGGAAAACCTCACAAAAATAAAAACCGAAACCAAACACCACCCCCCAACCCCTCGCCCCCCCTCCCCCGACCAAACACACTTCAGCCAGCGGGAAGCTGAAAGTCAGAGTGAGTGGGGGGCTGTTCTCGCCCAAAGCCTTCCGCAGAGCTCATACCCATGGACCTCTGATAGTCCACTGCATTGTGCCAATGGGCTCTCTGCCCTACACCACAACCACTGCTGCTCCCTGCCCTGAACTTCTGCTTGGTGCCTTCTTATAAAAACCCAGCACTGCCAAGCTGGCCTTTGTCCCATTAGTTTCCTCAGAATTTACTGACGGAAGCAAAGAACTCAAGTGGCAGGTTCAGATTAAAAAGCAACGGTTGGGAGAGAAATAACCATGCCATGAGTAGGTCACCCCCCCGTCTCTTAGGTACCTGTGTACCTCCCATTACCATAGCCTCCGAGTGCCTCACCATTGTTAGTATGGTTAGCCTCACAACACTGTTATTGGCTGAAGCCCAGGAGGGCGTTGGTGGACCCCGGGACTTTCTCCTCTTCACATCATTGGCCGCAGCAGGAAGACTCAGCAACCGCCAAAAAAGCAAAAGGCAGAGAGAGCTGCTGCAGAGGCAGCCCCAGGGTTGTGTGCATGGTGGTGCCTGCCTCACTGGCAGAAGCTGAGCTGTGGCAGCCTCCGAAGGTTTGAGAGTTTCCGAAGAGCTGCATAGCACGAGGGGCCACGTTCGCCCGCCAGCAGAGCCGGTCACTTTGTTCAGACCCCCTCAGCCCTCTCCCAGCAGAAGGAAAGACCAGCACCAACTGCACTGCTAACTGCCTTTGCTGTCCCGGGATGTGTCCATCTCCAATAATCAATACAAAGAGAGCGGGCAAATGAATCCCAAAAAGGAAAGGAGCTTTTTTTTCCCAGGATCTGCCGCTGGCCTGTGAGCATCTGAGACCCTCTTCCGGTGCACGGTTAGTCCCCTTCCCTTTTCTATACCTCAGCTTCAGATGTGGCTGAAAATCAAACCAACGTTGGATGAACAACTGAGCCAACGTTGGATGAACAACTCCCTCTGCTGGCTCTTCCGTGTACTACTTGCCGATGCCATGTCCCATCAAGCCGCCACTTCCGAGTCCAGCCCCTGTCCCACCGTGGGGTGGGTGAACTAGGAAGCCACTTGCAAACACTTGGTAAGAAAATGAGTGCATACAACTTTCCCCTCCCCACGCCCTCCATTTCACAATAATCGGATCAGAACTTCGCACTGGGCCCCAAGTCACTCAGCCCCCAACCCAAAGCGTTTTGGCAGCGCAATGTTCCATGCACAATGACAAGGGAGAGGGACGATTCTGAGCTAACCCACCCCTGTAATTCTACTGCTTTGAACACCAGCCGCGAGGACTGTCCTCACCTCTGAGCAAAATCCATCCCCACTGCAAAGGGGGGTGTGGGGGCGGGAGGAGGGAATCAGAGTCCAGGGGCGCAGTATGATGTAGGAAAAAACAAAAACATTTTGAACCAGTGTTTGTTTAGCCAGGGTAAATGAAGACACTTTGGCCTGAAACCTGCTCTGAGCTCCACATGGGCTACTGGAGTCCCCCCTGCACAGAGCAGTGACAATGGCCACATCAGGGACTGATTTGCAGGGAAACCAAGCACCCGCACAGCTCCCACTGAAATCAATGGAGTAAAATCCACCCTGTGCAAACAGGCAGAGCAAGGTCTATGCACTCTCCAATCCCACTCAAGCCATCAGTGCATAGGCCCTGTGCCTGGAGAGCTGGAGCCAGAGTCAGTGCGTTTTTGCCCTGGACTTGCCTCGGCTTACGCTCAGACACAGGGTGAATCCCACCCAGCACTGTGCTCAGCCCCTCTGGGGAAAACAGGAAGCCCTGAGTTCTGCCCTGTGAAGATCACCAGAAGCCAATCTGGAGTAACAAGCCGCTTTCCACTCTACCACACACGCAAGAAGGAGGAAGACTGCGGGACGCATGAAGTGTCTTTAATCCGAAAGAGGGAAAAGCAGACCAGAAGGATTAGTATAAGCCAACAGACAAAAAAAATAAAATAAAATAAAAATAAAATAAAAAAAACTTGTCTTGAAAACAAATTCAAATTCCATACAGTGCCTAAAATGTCACCTAAAAACTAAACATTTCCATAAAAAATGTTTGTTGTTTGAACACATTAAAACGCAGTGAAACAATGTGACAAAAGGGGGGAGGGGAATCAGACTAAAGAATTTAGGGTAGCTATTCTGCTCCCAGGAGTAGAGACTGGTTGCAAACACCACCAGGAGCGGAGAGGTGGCGGGGGCGCAGATGAAGTCAGGGACTGCCTTCCCCTTTGGTAGCACGTGGGGAAATAGGGATGGGATTCAGAGGGGAGCTCGCTGTGAGCCTGGGGTGCCAGGGAGAGGAGAAGGAAGAGAAGGGCTCAGTGCTCAAGCCCCAGCTGAAGCTTTGAACAAGACTGAAGCCCAACTGATCTTTTAGATACATTCCCAATTTCTCCCATCCATGCCTGAGTCAGCTGGTTTTCTTGGTGGGACCTTGATCGGCTTCTTCCCGTAGTGAATTCTTGGCACAGGGGGTAAGTAACAGCCGAAGCGCTTAAGGAAATGCCGCAGCACTGCAGGAACTGAAATCCACAGCAGTCACCAGGCAGATGGCTCAGAAAGGGGGTGGAGAGGAAGTGCCCCATTTGACTCCTGCTTCCCCGATGCGGGGTAAGTGTGTTTCCCACATCAGAGTGGGGCAGTAATAGGTTAGTTGGGGTGAGTGAAATGGCTTGGCCTCCCACAGGCTCAATGGTAAGTGCTGGGGCCCCCTGAGGAGAGGGGGACTTGCAGGGGGGCTTGTCTTTGTCTGCTTTCACCTCTGCTGCAGGTTTAGAAGAGGTGCAACTTGATGCTAAGTGGTAGTTCTGGACTGCCGTGCTCAGCACAGCAAGCCAAGGGTACGGGAGCCCAGAGAAAGACAGGGCAGGACCCTGCAAAAGGCTCGGCGCTCACAGCATGGGACAGTAATGAAAACTGGACAATGGGGCATCTGCTTTAGGTGCTTCTGGTCTAATCCCACGAAGGCTGGGGTGGCTGTAGTGAATTTGTTAGCGGCATCGTCATCCCTCCCCCAGAAAGTCCCCTGAGATCAGAATTGAATTCCAGGCATGTTACAGACCCCACATATTCATCCAGAAAGAACACCCCAGTGCGTGCATGGACTCACATACAAACTACACTCCCCCCAGACGTATACACACACACAACCCAGACACACACAATGGTAATTGAAAATAACCCTGTGCATGCACCGTTAGAGCCAAGGCTTCCTGTTTAGTGAGGATTTGTGCCACGACGCCTTTAAAAAGAAATTTTCCAGGCCTGAAAAGGTGCTCCAAATCCACAGGCTCTCCCAAGACCCCCCCAAACCACCAGCCCCTGAAGAGAAATTAAGAAAAGGAGCGTGGAAGGGACTAGAAGCCACACAGTATGTTCCTATCCCTGAGCCTCTTTGCTTCAGCCTGTGTTTACCAGAGGCTCACCTGAGGGGTTAATCCATCAGCACTAGGCAAAATAGCCCAGAAGCCTTCGTCTCTAGCCAGCGCTTCGCACGGGAAACATACTGTCTGGGTTTCAGCATTACAGTAGTTTTAAAAAATATTTATATATTATATACCCTAAAAAGGTTGCCACAGGAATTTCCATGTCTTTGTAAGGAAGAAGGAAAAAAATATTTAACCCCCCCAAAAAAAATACAAATTACCGGAGCTGTTCAACTCTCAGGCCAAAAATAAAGATGTGTGTATCTCACAGGGGCCATCTCCTCACCTGCGCCAAAAAGGCCAGAAACATGGGTGGGTAGCTAAAAAACAACACGTCTGGTATAAATGTCGGAGTTCCACATGTTTGATGAAGTCCGTCTTTGTCCTTTTCTTAAAAAATATATATATACTATTGCTTTCTCGACGGCCAGGCAGGGCTCAGAGGGGGCCCTCAGTGGGGGAGTGCTGTCGGCTCAGAGGGGTTCGCTTTCTTTCGTCTCTTCATGAGCAAAGGGTTGGAGGAGTCTTCGATTTTCTTTATCTTAATTTGTTCATAATCTACTCTCATGGTGGCCAAGGCACTCGTCATCTCCTCCTAGAAACACCAAGTAAAATACAGGGCCTGGTTAGCAATGGGGGCATCTGACATTGGTGCTAGAACCTCTGGGCTTGGGCCCATGCCCATGCCCATTGTCCATGCCCATACACACGTGTATCCCTACCCAAGACATTCAAAAATCCTAAGGCTAGACAAGACCACTGTGATCATATGACTCCCCGTATAGCACAGGTCAGAGACTTTCACCCAATGGTTCTATTCATATGTCATTGAACACACACATCATTTTAGAAAGGCATCCCCAGTTTGATTTTAAGTCTAGCGATGGAGAATCCACCACGTCTCTTGGGAAGCTGTTCCAATGGTTCATTACCATCATTGTTACAAATCTGTGGTTTGTTTCCCACTTTAATTTCTCTAGCTTCTAACATCCACCCATTGGCTCTTGTTCACCCTATAATCTAGGTCTTGTTCCTTGGACCAAATGATTTCACACACCACTAAACATTCCAACTTGGTGGTCTGTGGCTCAGTTGCTAGTGGCCCTTTCCAACACAACACCGTGCTAGCCGTTCCCCAACCTGATCCCTGTTACTATCCAACAGCGGTCTAGCGGTCCATAGCAAGTGAGATTAGCTGGTTGCCTCCATGCAGTTCTTCATGCTCACATCACAGACAGAAACACCTTTATTAGCAGCCTCAGCAGATGTGCAGAGGATTGAAGAGGCCACAAAGACAATCATCCACTCATGCCTCCAGGTCAGGGTGGAAACCCAGCCAAAAAACCATGCTACAGTAACAATACAGTCATTACTAGCGCAGCCAGGGCCAACACCACACCAAGGCTGCTGGCGGGAAAGAGTGGAGAAAAGGCTTTGCACGGCCACTAATCACGAGTTTACACTTTTTCTTTTTTTAGCGTGTGGATACAAAATTATTGCAGCCCTTTGATTTCTCTAATTTCCTATTTCCAGGGCTCAAATAGAAACGTGCTGTGAAAAGCAGCTCGTCCCTCCCAATACTCTCTTCTCTCCCATGCAGGTTCTGTGTACGGAAGCTTTATTAGCACTAAATTTGGTACAGCAAATCAAGGCCCTGATCCTGCAAGCTATTCCAGGTGGGCGCAGGGTACAGCTGGCAGGGGCCAGTGACCTGGCTCCAGTTCCCAAAGGCTCCCCGCAGCCTCGCCAAGCATGATGTTTATGTCCACTGAGATGAGGCATTTGGAGAGCAGGCTGTACCAGCTGTGCCTCCTGGAACAGAGGTGGGTCAGGGGCAGAAGTGATTCAGAGCTTTTACCTTGACGTCCTCCCACAAGTCTTTCTCTTCTTTCAAGACTCGACTAGTGTGCAGTGGCGTCTGGGGCACCTGCATCGATTGCTTTAGAGGGGAGGGTAAGAGAGACAAAGGATGAGCCTCCAATAAAAGTCCCTGCCGTCCCGCTTCTCAGTTCCAGCAGCTACCCCATTTCTGGGGGCTCCGTGTCTCGCCTCTAGAAAGCCTCGCACTTACCATGATCCAGGGGTGGTTCATGAACTCCGTTATCGTCATGCGCTGGGTCGGATCCGTCTTCAGCAGGTTCCGGATCAACTGTTTAACTGGAGAGGGAGATGGGAGGTGTTAATAAAAAGCAGCACTTAGGATATATATTCTCCCCAAGGGTACGCTATGCCCAAGCAACCACCAGAACCTCTGCTGGTCTCTTCGGCCTGGTCTATACCAGGGATTTGCACCAGTTGAAGCCATGGGTGCTGTGACAGACTGATAGCATCTTGTAATATCCTGGACAAACCTTATTAAATAAGGGTTAATACCTTTGGAGTCCACTGTTATTAAACAGGGAATCGTGTGAATGTTACTGTAGAATTGTATGTACCTTCTCTAGGAGGAGAGGAATGCTAAAGTAACTCCTCTCCTTATCAGCCCCTTGAAGCCATCCCCCTGGAGAGGTGCACCTATACTAGTCCTGACTGGATTCTCAAGGGACCAAGAAATAAAGAAAGGATTTTTGGATAAATAGCTTCGTTTTAACCAGGCTTAGGGCCTTTCTCCTGATCCAGCAATCAGACAGGCCCCCTGGTCCACAATCCTTAGTGAAGAGTAGGAAGGACTGGGCCCATCAGACTGTGTGCTTGTTCTAAGCTGTGGTGAACTTGAAGCCACAAGGAAACCACTTGGTTGGGGTGCTGAAGGACTGTTCCTGCCAGAACCCCTGTTTGGATTGGGGTGAACTCCGCTAAGCTTAAGTGTGTGTGTGTGTGTGTGTGTGTGTGTGTGTGTGTGTGTGTGTGTGTGTGTGTGTGTGTGTGTGTGTGTGTGTGTGTG